AAAAACTAGAAGTCTTGCCTTTTTAGTAATATAAATCTCTTCTAATCTCCTCTTGGCATTCCATTTTGGTTGAAGCCAAAAATGTAAGTAGACAAGCACAAGGAGAAGTAATGAATCCTCCTTTCACTCCCCTAGTTCTGTTGTCACATACAGAAGAGGAAACAACTCAAATGGAAACATGAAATTCCCAAATATTACTAAATGTTTCATCTTTCAAAACAGAAATTATGATGAGTATGTTCTTGTTCTTGGTTTGACACTCTTTTGAAAACTTACTTGTCCACTCCAAATAAAATCTTATGCAGTTTCCACGTGGGGCACGGGAACCTAAAACCTTATTTAGGTATGTGAATTGATGGCACCGAACAGAAGCTTCAGGAAATAAATCAAAGAGTCGGAAGAGAATAATGAGGGAGCTCGTGCATATCACTGCACTTACGGAGTTCATTTTAGAAGCTACTGTTGCTTCCCACTCTGTGGTCTTCCTGAAAATCCTTTCCATTCTTACCTTTTATAGCCCTTGTAGCTGAGTTTTCACTAAATAAAATCTTCAGAACAAGAATTCTGTCCATTTCCATTGTGCCACAGCTTATCCAGGTTCTCCACCTCATGACCTGCAGACGGAACCGCTTCCTGTCCCTTTCAAATTCTACCTGGCCTGGTGCGATCAGGTCATCTTCCCAACTCCAGTGCCTTTCATCCTCACCCCTCTGTCTATTCCAGAACCATGCCATCCATCAGCCCAATGCCAGTTAGATCAGGTGGCTTTGCCTTTTCATATAGTGCCACAACTTGACATGGATGGGTTCTCTTGTGCCATAATGCCTTCATAAGTTGCTGTCTCAGGGACAGCAAGGCAGAATCTAGTAACATCCCACTTAAAACTACTTACAACTACTTACCAACTCCTACTTTGGTAAGTAGTTATAAATGGACAGAATGATGAAATGCCAAGCAATGTGATAATGATCATTAACAAATACTAAGCATTTATTTAAAGCCAAATACTGTTCTAATACAGCCAAATAGCTATAAAGTTAGTACGACTTTTTCCTCTTTTTTTTGGCTGCATGGCATATGAGATCTTAGTTCCCTGACCAGGGATCGGAACTGCACCCCCCTGTATTGTAAGTGCGGAGTCTTAACCACTGGACTGCCAGGGAAGTCCTCATCCCAGTATGACTTTTTATCTCTAGTTTACAGATGAGGAAACTGAGACAGAGAGAGAAATTGATTTACCCAAGACAGCACAGCTAACTAGCAGTGGAAATGGGATCTGGACTCAGGCAATCTGGCTCTGAATTCAAACCTCATGACCAGCGTGTTGTATCATACAAGTGTGTGCTATTGATGGGTAATTGGCATGCCAGTGTTGCCAGCACTAGGGTACTGCAATTTGTCACCACTGTAATCTATCATGACCACGATCTCTCATCACTCTAATTCTTCACCACTGCTTCTTGGTTTAGGCACCACCACTAAGCCTGCCATTTAAGGGCTTCTGCCCTCTGTGCTGGCCAGCTTTTTTTTACCATGTCCCCAGCCAGCTGACATATTTACTTTTATGACCAGGCCCTGGTTCAAGCTCCCCAAACATCCAGGCCTATTGACAACCTCTCCAGCCCTACAAAGTTCCCTTCAAATCCTTGCTCTTCTCAGAAGCTATCCATGAGACAGCAGGAAACATTTCTTTCTCTCCTCCAAAGTTCATGTGGATTTATGGTCTGGAGCACTGGTCGCCTTCTCTGTCAACACAGAGCCCCCTTTGGAATGTAACAAATCACCTAACCTCAACTCTCTGGATGACAGGAAATATGTAGTATCTACAGGGGCAGCTCTCAGCTGGCAGTTCTTAGCCCGGCCACTTGGGAGAGAATCACATGGGAGCTTTGAAAATCCCGGTGTCCAGACTGCACCCCAGAATAAATGAATCCGAATCTCTAGGGGGGGCACCCAGATGGAGTTCAGGTTCAAGCACTTCAGGTTCCCTGGGTGATCTGAATGGGGAGACAAGGCTAAGAACCAGGGGTCCAGCACATACCATTTGTCCCTTGGAGGCCTACTTCAACAAACCTGCAAGCTCTTAAAGATGTGAGCTTTTATAAATAGGATGGATAAACAAGGTCCTACTGTAGAGCACAGGGAACTATACTCAGTATCTTGTGATAAACCATGTTGGAAAAGAATCTAAAAAATGAATGTATATATATGTATATACATATATATGTACATATGTGTGTGTGTACAACAGAATCACTTTGTGGTATGGCAGAAATTAACACAATGTTGTAAATCAAAGATACTTCAATTAAAAAAAATGAAAAAAAAATTGCCTTGAGATTTTAAGCTTTTGCTCCTCAAAGTGTGGACCATGGCCCAGTCACATCACAGTACCATCTGAAGATCTATTACAAATGCAGTTTCTCAGGCTCCCTCCCCAGACATACTGATTCAGAGAGTCTTTTAACAAGAACTCCTGGTGATCCAGATGCACAGTGAAGTGGAGAAGCGTGCTTTAAAGCCTGCAGAGACTATCTGCAGCTCGAGGATTAGGACTATCAAGCCTCAAACGACCATTAAAAATCCATATTTCTTTGTTAACGTATGTGTTTTCATTTCCTGGCAGCATTACCATCCTTCTGAGCTGCTGTTTGACCTGTATCCAGAGAGAGAAACCACTCACTTCTCCTTCCTTAGCCAGTCTTCTCCCAAAGATTTCTGTTCCATGGCGCTCGTCTCTGACATCTTCAACGCTCCTGTGAGCTCACCTCCCTTTCCTTGAAGCCCTGTCACTCACCTAACATCTTGGAATGGGGTCAGCTTGCAATTCTTGTTCCTATGGGGACAGGCAACAGAAGAGGCTAAACCACTCTACAGCTTGGGATGGGCTTAATATGATTCCTCCTTTTCCTAAGAGTAGAGAAAGAAAGGCCCATTTATTGGCATTTATATGCAAAGAGTGTACTTGAAAACCACACAGAAATAACTTCTGTCACCTATTCTTCAACGTATAATATTCATGTACTTTTAAATGCCATGTAAAAGCAAGTAAAAAATCAGTGTTTTTTTTAGGTATGTGTTTTCTAGCTTTCCCACAGAGAAGTGGTTTAAAGGCAACTTGATGGGATTCACTGAGAGAAGGCCACAATGTCTGTTCTCTTGCACAGGGGAAGGAAATAAGTAAGTTCCTTTAAATTCTGGTAGCACAAGATCTACTGTGAAGAAAAGCCCTGTGTTAGTTTAAATTGGAATCTACACCTTGATGATAGCTAGGTATCTCGGGAAATTTTAAGAAAGCCTAATTCTCTGATATGAAAAGCAAGATCATGAAATACTAGCCCATGTATATCATTTGAATTAATTTTTATTCTCTCCTGGCTCTTAGGGCTTGAATTTAGGCAGAATGTCTTACTTGAAGCAGAAATTATCTTGATAATGATTGGCACAGAAATGGATTTTAAAAAGTACTCTTGAAAGGATGATCCACTTAAAAATTCTTCCCTGCTCTACAAGACATAGAGTGAAACTGAACTGAGCAGGGTAATTAACGTAATGACCCAGGAAAGAAGGAGGCCTGAACAATGTGCAATTTCTTTCCACCAAGTTTCTGTAAAGAACATAATTTTTAAATATTTGAAATAGTTTTAAATGAAAATTAGTACATCAAATCTAACATCAGTATAAAAGAACAATTTAATGCATGTCCATTTTTCCAAGATACCACTGAATAAGACAGACCATTACAGTATTTATGTATGATTAAGAGAGAAAATGCTATGACTTAACTGAAGACATGTCAGTGATTGTAAGATTAATCTCAAACTTATGGATACCAAGGAGGGGAAAGGGTGGGATGGATTGGGAGATTGGAACTGACATATATACACACTGCTATGTCTAAAATAGATAACAAATGAGAACCTCCTATATAGCACAGGGAACGCTACTCAATATTCTATAATGACCTACACGGGAAAAGAGTCTGCAAAAGAGGGGATCTGTGTATACGTATAACTTATTCACTTTGTAGTACACCTGAAACTAACACAACATTGTAAAGCAACTATACTCCAATAAAAAATTAACAAAAAAAGATTAGTCTTAATTTCAGAGATCATAAAACCTGGGGGAAAATGTGTCTTAGAAGTGTTGAAATTCGGTCGATTAAAAAGCACAGCATAAATGATACTTTCGCGAAGGATCACAACTTTCCCTGTCACAAATTTAGGGTTTGGTGCCTTGATGGCAACATCACTCCTGGTTCATGATGCAGTTTTGTGCCCTTAACTGGCTTTGTTAAATGTTCTGCACCCTCCATACACTCTGCCTCTATAGCAAATGGTGAAGAGCAATCATAAAATCTAACCAGCAGGAATATTTCAGCGCTTCTCCTCTGGGGGAAAAAATGGTGGCAAACCATAGCCTACAGCAAGGCTTGTTTTTTCCTCATTGCAAACATGGGGGCCTGTGGAGATCAGTGTGTGTTTCTGTCAAAACGATGCTAGCTGTAAAGAGTGGGCAAGTCGAGAAGGTGAGCATATCTCATTTCAAATGGCCACCTAGGCCTTGGCTGAGGCCTGTCCTGTGGTTTGGTGATGCACCTGTCCCTCTGGTAAGTTACACAGGTAAGATGCATCCAGGCGCATCATTGGGGGCTGCTAAGCACAGTTTTAAGGATTGTATAAGTGGAATCACTGATGCATATCACTGTCAGTTCCTGCGCTTCCTGCCAGTGTGATTTAGTGGCTTCTTTTTTTCTGGTAAACACAGTCTCAAGGGGCTGGAAAAAGACAAAAAATGAAACAGAAAATCCCCAAAGGCAGTTTTTAATTTGACAAGTGAGTTTTCTTTTTAGGGGGACAGATCAGATTTGCTGGGAAGTCACCAAAATTCCACTCAATTCACCCTGCGTGGAGTTATGTAAACTTTTCTAATTCTTTGGAAATGGAAACAGACATCCCCGAGATGATTTAAGAAGATGGAAAAACGAGCATACTCACGAAGACTGGGAGGCCTTCCTTCTGAGTAGATAGTCCACCACATCCGGATCGGTCTCTAACAGGCTGATCAGCACTTCATTCTGCAGATCCGGGGGAACCTGCATGGACCAAGTGTTGAGGCATAAATAAAACCGCTCCAGCAAGAGGCAAACTGTGGTCACTGGCAGTCTGAAAATAGTGTCTAAAAGGATGCCTCAGAAGTTATCTACAGTCCATGGGGTCACACAGACAACAAAAGTTATAAGAGAACAGAGGGATTTGTTGGTTAAGACCAAATCTACACCAACCCATGCAGCCAGTTTCATTCTTAGAACAAATTGGATGATTACCAAAGAGTCATACTCACTGGGCTTCCCTGGTCACTCAGACAGTAAAGAATTTGCCTGCAATGCAGGAGACTCAGGTTAAATCCCAGTGTTGGGAAGATCCATTGGAGAAGGGAATGGCAGCCCACTCCAATATTCTCACCTGGAGAATTCCATGGAGAGAGGTACAGTCCAGAGGGTCACAAACAGTTGGACATGACTGAGTAAATAACACTTTCACTTCACTTTCATATTCACTACTCAATTCAATTCAAGTAGGGTGAACTGTCACTCCACTCATGACTGGAGATAGAGCCTAAAACCACTTGGAAACCTCTGTTGCTTGGATTCGATTTTCTTGACTTTGAATGAGCAAAATACCGTGGTTAAGAGTAATGGTGTTCATAACTTCTTGTCCAAATGGGGACACTTTCTAGAGTTCATATTTATAACTAAGCCCAGGTAACAGGCAGAAATGAGGACTGTCTTGGGTGGTTCTGGAACATATGATTAGTTTACTGGGGACAGACCCTGCAGCCAGAGGCTGCTTGTGTTTGAGTTCCAGTATATGGCTGTGGGGCTTTGGCCAATGGATCTAACCTTTCCAGGTCTCAGGCTCTCATCTGGAAACAGTAAGAGGACTCACCACAAAGGGCTGATTGATGTGGTGATGCAAAGGACTTATTACATGTTGAGAACTTAGAACAGCACCTGGCAGATAGGAGACACTCCAAAAATGCTGCTACTACATTTGCAGATGTCAGCTTGTCATTCAATGCCTGCCTTCACTTGTTTCTTGCATCCTGGTCTATCAACAATTAAGAGTTTTTTGCTTCACAATGGGATGAGGCATGCTCTAGAATATTATAGATGAGCATCATGTGTCTCCCTAAGCTTAATCCTCAGGGCATGAGAGGATAGCCTTCCAATCCTAAATCACTCGTGTAGGACTTTTCTAGAAAAAAGGATTGAACTCAGCTCCAGTGGTTTTCTACTCTGTAGATGCTCAACCAAAGGAAATTTCAACTATTGAGGGAAAATACATTTTCATTCTGATTCTCTCACATGTGGGCTCGGAGACAAGACTCTTAAAAATTGTGGGGACAAGTCTTCTGAGAGTAAGTGGTTGGTGGAAGAATTTGCCTCCTGCCTCTTGCAGAACTCAATTCATCTTGAGCTCTAAGAAGCTGGAAACAATTTCATTAAGAAGAACAGGGATGAGAAAGCAACAAAATGCTTTCCTCTTCTCATAAATCTGTTCTTCCTACTTCATTCTGAATCTTCATTAATGACATTGCCAAACCTTAGTCACACAGGCTAAAAAGCTGGGTTGTATTCAAGCTTCTCTGTGTCCTTTCCCCTCTACATTCAGAGCCAGGAAACCCACTTGATTTCATCTCCAAGATGCCTATTACTTCTTCCCTCTCTTTTCCATTCCAGCTGCAATGATCCAAGTTTGAGCCCTCATTATCCCTTTGGAGTGCTCATCTGTTGCCCATTACCAGCTTTCATTTCCCTAACAGACATACTGCAAGTTCCCTCTGGAAAACTAACTGCTCCCCAACCTTCAGCTTGAGGGTGAGGTGTACCCTTGACTAAATCAATGATTCTTTCATTCCCAGACTGAAGCATGGGTGCTTGAATGATGAGCATGCGATTTCATTAGAAGCAATGAAAAGCTGTGAGAACTTCCCAGGGACTTTGGAGAGACAGGATACAGTGCTGACAACTGAAGAAACAATTCCAAGAAGTGGAGAGAAAGAAAAGGGGTCTTGACATCATTTAGAGTCCCAGGTAAAGCCATGCCTGAAGCCACATTTGCTCTTGGATTGTTCAGCTGTGTGAGCCCCCAAATTCCTTAAGCTGGTTTGAGCTTTTAATTGAAAACAAAGATCCATCCTTGATGGGCCTTTGATACAACAGCTTGCTAACCTGTTGTTGTTCAGTTGCTCAGTCACGTCTGACTCTTTGACCCCATGGGCTGCAGCACATCAGGCTTCCCTGTCCTTCACTGTCTCCCGGAGCTTGCTCAAACTCATGTCCATCGAGTCAGTGGTGCCATCCAACCAACTCATCCTCAGTTGCTCCCTTCTCCTCCTGCCTTCAATCTTGCCCAGTATGAGTCTTTTCCAATGAGTCGGCTCTTCGCATCAAGTGGCCAGAATACTGGAGCTTCAGTTTCTAACTTGTGTGCTCTCTATCTCCCTTAACACGTACATCAAATTTCTTCTCTGCCTGGTTGTCACAATGCTCTGATCAAGACACTTGACCAAAACCCTTTTTAATCAAAGCCATCCCCTCACTTGTTTGCCTCAATTTGTTTCCCATCTTTGCCCCTAGCAGTCATACCCACACATTCTATTTCAGTACCATTGTGCCTCTCATTCTGACCTTTTCCCACCTCATCCCTTTAATTTATTACATAAATATTTGGTGAATGCTTCCCAAGTGCCAGGCACTGGATTCTTGGATTCAGTAACAAACCAAACAGACAAGAATTCATGTCTCCTTGAAGCTGACAGTAAATATGGGAAGAATGGCACTAAAGAAATAAACAGAAAACATAGCAAGAATCACTTGGACAAAGATAAAGCCAAGACAGGGAACAAAGAATCCTGGGTGGGAGCATGCCATTTAAATGGAATTGTCAGAGAAACTGACATTTTAGCAGAGAACGGAAAGGAGGAAGGAATTGGAGAAAATCATTCCAAGGAGAAGGGAGAAAGAAATAGCAAGATGTTGAGTCAGAAGCAGTGAGGAGGCCAGGGAAGTTGGAACAGAGTGAGAGGAAGAAGGCAAGTGGTAGGAACTAGGTCAGGTAACCAAGGCCAGATGTTGCAGAGTCTTATAATTTCTGTTCTCAATCTAAGTAGGCAGGGAGCCTCTGGAAGTTCTGAGCAGAAGATGAACACAACTTGTCATCACTCTGGCTACCGAGTTGCTAGGAGATTGCAAAGAAGCAAGGGGTGAAGCTGGGAGCACAGATGGGGGACTGTGGATACATCCAGAAGAGAGATAAGGGAGGGTCAAGCCAACATGGTGAGTGGATGAGAAATACTTGGATCCTGGAGACAGTGAAAGTAGAAACCACAGCAGCAGCTAATCGACTGGGTGGAGAGAGAGAAGGAAGAGGAGAGGGAGCAGGGGATGAAGGAGAAGAGAGGCTGACGTCAACGTCCCCAGGAAGAACAGGCTTGCTGTTAACTGATACAGAGAAGCTGCAGGACCAGGAGGAGGCTGGGGGTAGAGCCTAGGGCTGTGGCTTCCCTAGAGGCTCAGACAGCAAAGAATCTGCCTGCAACGCAGGAGACCCAGGTTGGCTCCCTGGGTGGGGCTTATCCCTGGAGAAGGGAACGGCAACCCACTCCAGTATTCTTGCCTGGAAAATCCCATGGACAGAGGAGCCTGGTGGGCTACAGTCCATGGGGTCGCAAAGAGTCGGACACGACTGAGTGACTAGCACTTTCACTTTACTTTGGTGTAAGAGTGAGAGGCCTGTGAGACATCCAAATGAAGGAAAGCTCTAGTAAGCGATCAGGAATAAGGATCTGGGGTTCAGGAAGAGTCCTGGGTTGAACATAGAAATTTGGGGGACACACATATAGATAGTACTTAAAGCTCGATGATCAAGTGCAATGGCCTAGGCATGAGAATGGAAGGAAAGGAGAGGAGCAGGACTTTTAGGGCCAGAATGGGAGTATCTGTTCTCTTACTTTATTGAATACATTAAATCAATTAAAAGACTGACAATGTTTACAAACAACATGACCCAACAGATATACATGATTCCATCAGTTTTTCCAGAAGTAAAATTCAAAGGGTGAAAATGAGAAGAGAGAGAACTCATTTAAAAAAAAATGAACTGCGAAGCAAAAAATAGTATAGGCCAACAATGTATACAATACATTTTTTTAAAAAAAGAAACTTTCATAAGCAAATTAGGAAAACTATCTGTATTTTTGTCCAGTTAGTTTAATTTAAAATTTCCTATGCTTAGACATGTAATAAAAAATTTTGCTCCAAGCGCCAAATCCATTCCCACTAAGAATAAACAACTGGAGTGGATGGCCTCCGGAGTGGTGCAAACATCACAATATCAGTTCTCTGATCAACTCAGATTCATCATTAGAATAGCTTACAGGAAGGATCATTATTTGAAAATAACTTTGCATAAATTTTCAAAAACCATTCTGCAATTCAGAGTTTTACTCACTCAACTAGGCTTAATTCCTAACAAATTACAATTATTGACATTTATTTTCTGTAGCATATGTGACCTTTACTTACTAGCCAATGCAAATAGAAAGGGTTGGTGCTATAACCCTATCTACAGTTCCTTTCTAAAAGACTCTTGGTACTATTTTGCGTTGGAGACACTATTTACAAATGACTAGGTAAATAGCTTAAATATGTATGGATCTGTGTATTGTAGGAAGGGTAGGTACTATTTTCCTATGTATTACACAAGACTGACTACAGTGTATAATACATAATCCATTATTTTAATTAATTTATTTATAGCCCAGCTTGTTACAAAATGATTTAAAGCAGCTTTCAAAATTCACATGATAAAACCACGTTTGTTTAAAAAATAAAGGAATAGTTCAGAAAATTGGAGCCAGTGGGAAAATGAAAGTAGAGAATTTGAAATGATGCCTGGAACTGACTTTTAATATTCATACAACAGCATCCAGTGCTGTTTTCCCAATAATTCCTCTTATCTGTGTCCACATTTGCACATTTCATTTCCTATTATTTAATAAAAATTTTGAATTACTGGCTCAGTTCAATAG